GTGAGCCCCTGGCCTCGTCCTGGCTTGGTTGATGGAAGATGCGTGCCCCAAGTCATCCTTGGGGAGCCAGATGCCAGATGTTTCACCGAGTTTAGATATATTTTAGAAGTGAAGCAGCCTCCGTTCACCCGTGGCACGGAGGCTAGAGGCACATGGGAGCTGGAGATCAGATGAGCTCCCCAAATATTTGGGACAAAAGTCAGCGTCCAGTGTGGGACTTGGTTATTTGAGGAGGCAAAATAACTATTAATAACTTGATTTATAGCCGTGTTGTTTGACCTATATCTGCTGCACGTCCGTCCTCAGGAGCCCGTGTGACGTGAAATTGTGTACGTGGAGTTGTTTTCCCTTCCCCTCTGCGTGCCTGCCAGGGCTGCCGTCTCGGGGAGGTATTTTGGCGTGCGGGCTGCACTGATTAGACACTTTATCTTAGCACCCATTTCCAGAAGCATCTGCCTTGTTTGTGCCCAGTGTTTGCTTCTCCGCGGAGGGGCCCTCACGGGTGGGTGGTGACCCCTACAGGGAAGGCCTAGGGCTGGCCACACCACGGTACGTGCAGAATGTGAGCCACTCCAAGCGTTTCTGCAAGAACTGACCATCACCTCAGTAAGGTCTTGGTGACTTCCGTAATATCGTAGTGTAGCACTTTTTTTTTTTTCAAGATTTTATTTTTTTGAGAGAGAGGCAGAGAGAGGGGAGAAGCAGGCCCCTCACTGAGCAAGGACTCGTGGGGCTGGATCCCAGGACCCTGAGATCATGACCTGAGCCGAAGGCAGAGGCTTCACTGACTGAGCCACCCAGGCACCCCCTCCCCCAGTGATTCTATAATCTAAACAAATGAAATCCTAATTGAGCCACAGGAATTTGAAAGTTTGTCAAAGAGTGGGATTTTTTTTTTTCTCCTGAGCAGGATATTTTAGATTCTTTAAAAGGCTTCGATTTTGCTCTAAGGGCTGTGGAAAATACACGAAGTTGGTGACATGGCGGTATGGCAGTTGGATTTGATTCAGGAAAACTACAGCCTGCTACCCGCGTGTGACCAGAGTCACCTGGCTTTGTCTAACGCCCGCGCTTCCAAATGTGCCGGGAGGTCTGTCAGTAATGCACCTCAGAAGAGGGAAAGCACACTGGGGACACACCTTGCTTTGACCCTCTGGGGCTTTTATACTTCACCGTCACAATGACTCTGAGGAGTGTCAGAATGATGTTATGTTCCCGAAAGTATAGTGGCCCTGACTGCCGAGAGCGGTGACCCAGGTGGGAGGGACCTGGCCGGCCCCAAAAAGGAGCAGGAGGGCAGGATGGAAGACACCAGTGCCAGGGGCTTCCATAGGGGAAAGATAACTCCAGTGAAAACCCACCTGGGTGGAGGGAGGTCAGCACATTGCATTTTCTCAGAAGAAACGTGTCAGACAGCAAGCCTGTATCTTGGGGGCACGGAAGTGGAAGCAGTGGTCGGTGTGTTTTGCTGGATTTTCTCTGGGTTTTGAGGACGTGTGAACTGCAGCTGGGGAAAGCGCACTGGGCCACGGTGCCCCTCAGCCACCCTGCCCATGGCATGCAGGGACCTGACCCGAGGCCGACTCGGGAACTACCGTGAGCTCTGGGCTTCACCCCTCACCGGCTCTTAAAGTGTCCATTAAGGGAGAAATGCTTGGGTTGTTCACGGGATGAGTTGGGCTTGTTAGTGTTACGGAGCTCAAATCAGGCAGCTATCATGTGGCAGCTAAATAAGAGTGTAGGACACATTCTAGAACTTTCTGGAAGCCCCAGACTTGTGAGCTGCAGTGTGACTTGTACTTGTTCTCGAAGGTGAGTCCCCGGAGCTGTCAGTGAACACACAGCTGAGGGGGGTCCCCCATGTGGTGGCCGCTCTCTTCTCCTGGCCCCTGCTCCTCGGCTTACAGATGAGGACAGGAGACAGGAGGACAAGGAGCCTCCAGGGGTCCGGATTTTCCGTGAGCCCCACTTGTCCCACTCACCTCCCTGCCCCCGAACTCTGAGCAAGACTTCTGCCTGCTGACTCTGGAGTTCTCCTTTGTGATCGATTAAGTATTGATCACACGGTAACGATGAATTATTAATTCAGTACCTTTGTCCTTTTACTGTCTGGCCACAGGATTAATCTTTGACTCCAAGCTAAGGCAGCATCTTTCCCCTCTCATACAGACCCCTAGATGTGCGGGGCCCTGCTCGCAGGTTTCAGGTCGCGATGTGGGTTCGGATTCACGCCGCACGTCCCTGTCCACTCCACTCAGACAGCTCTTGCTGGTCTTGCTTCCTACTGTTTCGGAAGCATCGGCTTCTCTCTTGTCAGTCCGTCTATCCGTCCATCTGACACTTACTGTGTGTAGCACCCGTGTCCAGGCCTTCCTCAGACCCCGCCCTGGCACTGTTGGAGGGCAAGAAGCCGAGGGCCTGTGGCTTTTCTGCTTCTGCCTCATCTTCCCACAGCTGTTCTCCACCCCAGCCCACCCCCAGCCGGCTGCACGCCCTCCCTGGCTGTAGCCTTGGGGCGCCCTGCACCCCCAGACCCCGTGCCCCTTTGGCATCTGTGCCAGACATGCTCCCTCAGGAAGTTTTTGTCGCTGTTCAGCTCTGCTCTGTCTTCTTGGGCCCTTTTCCCTAACGAGTGGGGAAGCCGAAGCAAAGGCGTAAATCTTTAAAGAAAGAAAGGCGAATTCCAGGACTGGACAAAACTGACATCTCTGTAATGCACAAGGGGTCCTGCGACAGGTGGGGGGAGGGGGAGAGGTGTGAGGGCAGGTTCTGGAAAGGTCTGTGAGCTCATGCATAGAGCACACACCTGCTGGCTGCAAAGATTGTTTTCAGATTCAGGGTTCGCTCCTTTGCACCTGTGTGTGATCACAGGCAAAGCGCTCGGCCCCAAGGGTCCGGTCCTCAGCTGGTACACCAGCTGGTGGTCCCCCGTGTATACTGTGCTGTAAGGCATCTGTGAAACAGGTGTACCGAGTTACAGCTACCTGTGCTTACCACATGCGGGGCTCTGTTACAATGCAAGGTGACGACCAGCTTCCTCCTGTCACCCCCCTGCATGCAGCTCCACTGCGAACCCCGTGTCCGCTTGTGGTGAGAGGTAGAAAGCCGAGCCTTGTGTCCTGGGTGTGGAGCCCATAGCAGGAGCAAGGCCGGGATGGACACGTTCCTGGTGGGTGACCTCTCTGCTCTGCCTTCCTGCCCGTAGGGCCTTGGGCCCTGGCTTGGCGGGGGTTGTGCTGTCTTGGGCCCTGAGCCCGTGGTGCTCCGTGGGGAGTCATTTACAGGAGCAGGTGGGCCTGTGGCTGACCTGGCTTGCAAAGTGCCACAGTAGGGTAAGGTGGGTCTCGTTCACGTTGGCCACATTGTGCAAAGTGACAGAGCTGAAAACGCACCGAAGGGGGCAGTGCTGTTGGGTTGCAGTGGGTTACAAATAAGAGAACCTACCTCGGAGCAGCTGCAGCTCGAGATTGTAGGGACTGTGCTTTCCAGAGCTCCTTGCCACGCCAGGCTGCTCGGAGCCTGGTTCCCATCCCCAGCCTCTGTCTCTGCCGCCTGCCCCAGCTGCTCCCACATCTCCGAGTGTGCTGGCTGACCCCCCTCCCCACTCCGTGGTGTATGGTGAAGGTTCTCCAAAGGGTCCTTCCTTTCTTATTTCCAGAGCATTCTCTTACAAAGATTTCCCTCCCCTATCATGGAGCAGGTGCTCCATGGATGTTGTCCAAACCGAACTGGGTGCCAGTTCTGATGTGCATTTATGGGAATATGGGGGAGGGGGTTTAAGGAACTGGCTCCCGTGATTGTGGAGATGTATGTCCAAAATCTTCGGGGCAGCCAGCAGCCTGGGGACCCAGGGAAGAGTTGTAGTTCAAGTCTGGGGGCAGAATTCTTCTGTCCTCGGGGGCTGTAGTCTTTTTCTCTTAAACTCTTCTTCTCTTCAGCTAATCAGACAAGGCCCACCCACATTATAGAGAGCAGTCTTACTCAGAGCTTACTGATTTAAATATTACTCTCATCTAAAAAATATTTCATAGAGCGGCACCGGGGCGGTGCAGTCAGTTAAGCATCGACTTTGTTTTCCCCTCAGCTCATGGTCTCAAGGTCTTGAGATCAAGCCCTGCATCTTGTTCTTTGCTCAGTGGGGAGTCTGCTTAAAACTCTCTCTGCCCCTCCCCACTGTGTGCTCTCTCTCTCAAAACGAATAGATCTTTAAAAAACAAAACAAACAAAAAAACCTTCACAGAAACATCTAGAATCATACTTGACCAAATACCTGTGTCCCAGCCAAGCTGACACGTCCAAGTTCCCATTAGAGTCTCTGGAGCACATCTCCTTCTGTTTTCTGTCCTTCCCTCTGACATTCTCTGGGCTTCTGTCTGCGTCAGGCCTTCTCTGCAAAGACCAGGCTCCCCCGGCTGTCAGGCCCGTCGAGGGCAGAGGAGGGCACCTGGAGGTCAGCAGGTGCACAATTCATAGGCCTCCCCCTGTGAACCTGTCCGTGTGGCGTGGGCCTCCTGGAGCCCTGAGCAGGCCAAGGACCCTGTCCATGTTGGGTGCCATTTGGCTCCTGTGTCTCTCACCTCTAGAATTTTGGGGAAGGGAGAAGTCCTGATCTACATGGTTAGGGCTCGACGTCCGCCTGTGGTCTGGCCAGCTGAGGCCGGAGCGGTGGGGTCATGCTGTGTGGCCCATCCACGCCAAGGGGCCCACGAGCCAGGCAGAGGCTCCAAAGCTGGGTCCCGTCCGTGCAGACCAAAGAGACGCGGCTGGACGGTGGCTCCATGGTGCCCAGGGATCGTGTCAGCAAACACCGATTCGCGTACTGTGTACGGTTCCTTCTGGGATGCACAAGCTCAGTCACGCTCCCTGCCTTCGCTGGGTCGTGTGGACTAGTATGCGCGTTGGGAGCCGATCCCCAGGGTGCCCACGTGCCCGTCACCCCTCGCTGCTGCCGCTAACGTCCTGCTCTGTTCTGTTTCTTCGCGGTTGGCCCGTGCGCCCAGAGGATGACGTGGACCTGGAAGCCCTGGTGAATGACGTGAACGCGTCGCTGGAGAGTTGGTACCCATCCCGTAGCATGCCGTCGGAGACGGCGCCTCTGCTCCAGAGCAGCCAGCCGCCGCCCTCGGGAGCAAGGTCCCTGCAGACGCCGCGTTCCCAGCCTGTGCACATCCTCGCCGTCAGGTGGGACCTGGGGCCCGGAGGGGCTCGTCTCTGGGGATGGGGATGCGACACGGCTCTCTGCACGTCCGTACGTTCACTTTCTCCATCCAGCTCGGCCCCACGGGCTTGGACCTGGCACCCAATTCGGTTTGGACAACATCCATGGAGCACCTGCTCCATGATAGGGGAGGGAAATCTTTGTAAGAGAATGCTCTGGAAATAAGAAAGGAAGGACCCTGGGTGGTCTGTTGGGGGCTCGAGGGCCTTACTGCCCACAGTGGGGTCTGGGGGCCTGGAGGAGGGGCATCCCACGGGGCGTTCCCTGCAGGAGACACAGCCTCTGGAAATTTGGGGCTGGTGGGCAGGGCTTCTGGGAAGCAGAGGGGTGTTCCTCACAGGTGGCACATCTCTGATTTGGGTGTCGGCAGGTGAGTAGGAGCTGGGGGGTTGTGGGGGAAGAGATTTTGTGAGTAGAAGGGATGATCCCCATTGTCTCAGGTGGCCAGATTTGCTCCCTTTCCTTGGCGGACTGATACTCCCTTGTACGTACTGTGTTTATCCATTCGTGCGCTGACGGGCGAGGCAGGCAGCATGCTAAGTAACCAAGCCTTCCGCAGGAGGACAGATGCCACGGGATTGCACGTAGGGGACGCATCTAAGGTAGTCAGACTCCAAGAAGCAAAGAGTGGGAGTGGTGGAGGCCAGGTCCAGAGGGGAGGGCGTTGGGAGAGAGGGGACAGAGCGTCCCAAGTGCCGTTTTCTACACGGGGAACAGGTCCAGGGGATCTCCTGCAGCGCAGAGCCCACACGTCCCAGTACCCTGGTGTGGTGTAGACGGAGAACCTGGCTGAGAGGGAGGGGCTTCCAGGATCACAGCAGAGAGCAGGGAGGGGGCGTCGCGTCCGCAGGCTGTGGTGTGTCTGGCAGGCGACCCTGGTGATGGGTCACACCGCGTGCTCATGTCACACACAGTCGTCCTGCTTTCCAAGTGTCGATCACATCTCTACGCAGGGCGGTAGACAAAAGATGACCCTGACAGGTGGGGCCACCTTCCGAAGGCCTCTGTGAGCCATTGAGGGGTGAGATGGGGAAAGATTTGAAGAGGCGAGCCAGGAGATTGGGTTAGGGTTTCGGCAGATCCTTCGCAGCCTGGTTGGCGGGGGCGGGGTGGGGGGCGGGTGTTGGCTGCTTAGGGCACAGCTGACTTGGAGGCTGTTTCAGGGACCAGCCTAGAGATGCTGGTGTCCCGAAGCGGATACAGAGGGGGCAGACGGGAGGTGTCAGCACCTAACTTCGGGGGGCGGTGGGGGACGGCCTGAGCTGGGAGCGTGGAGCAGCCAGCGCCACAGCTGCTGGGAACGGGGTGCTGAAGGCATCACGGGCCTTCTGGGGGCAGAGGTTGTGAAACGGAGCTGAGAAGCTCTCTGTGCTGCCGCCCGGTCCCTGTGGGCCGGGCCCTGGAGGTTTTCAGGTGAGGATGGAGGGATGGGAATGGGCGACGGAGCGAGGCCTCCCTGAGCTTTCTAGTGCCTCCCTGTGCTTTCTAGTGCGAGGCTGGTGTTGCCCTCTGTTTTGGGCCTCGGTCAGGCTGGGGTGCTCGTGGCTGCTACCTTTCTTGGCACTGCATCTTCCTGGGATCTCGCTTCTCTGCTTGGGGGTGGAGGGCTGGGGTGCTCTCTGCTTCCAGAAACTTCTATAAGGCTCTTTTTTGTTGTTGTTGTTGTTAAGATTTTATTTATTGATAGAGAAAGAGAGAGAGATTATAAGCAGGCAGAGAGGCAGGCAGAGAGAGACAGGGGGAGGCAGGCTCCCCGCTGAGCAGAGAGCCTGATGTGGGGCTCAATCCCAGGACCCTGAGATCATGACCTGAGCCGAAGGCAGAGGCTTTAACCCACAGAGCCACCCGGGCGCCCCATATAAGGCTCTTTCTGGTCTGACATCCCCGGTGTTCTGCGGACAGGCTACCCTCTCACCCAAGGCAGTCTGCTCTGTCTCGGGCCAGCAGGGTCAGCACAGAGCTGTCTGCAGGGGTGGTCGCCTGCTCCTTGGCTCTTGGCCTTTCCCTGCCTCTCTCTCCTGGTGTTTTCATCCCACTCTGCTTTCTGGGGCATCACCCTTGTGTTCTTGGCCCCTGTGCAGTCAGTCTGCGAAGAGATGCACTTTCCTCCTGCGCACTTCTCTGGGTGTGGAGTCTGTCAGTCACGTGTCCAGAGAAGCCTGGAGTAGGGAGCCCCTGGGAAGGATGGTCACAGCCGGCACAGCGGTCGCACCGGAAGCTGAGTCAGGGCAGAGGATGGACAAGAAGGCCCAGGCCCCTGAGTTGCCTGGAGCCCTTGAGCCTAAAATTTGGGCCACATTCTGCCCTGGGGCTGCCTGTGCTAAGTCCCACGGGAGGTGTCTGGGCAGGCATGCACCACAGGGCAGCAGACACTCTCCCTGCAGCAGAGTGGACACCTGGCCTCAGGCCTTACCTCACTTCTCGCAAATAAGTAGCATTGTTTCTTACCTTCAATTGTGTTTTAAAAATGGGGTGACCGATATGGGATACCCAAAGATTTTTTTTTTTGGTAAGTGAGGTTTTTTGTGGAGCACTTCTTGTGTGTGCTGATCACTTCCTCTGTATAGTTCCTGTTGAATCCTCATTTGTTAGCTGGTACGATGGCCGGCATATCTCTCAAGGTGGTTGGTGTGGTGGCCCTCAATGCCCAGCTGATAAAACTGAGGCCCTAGGCGTAGTGACTGGCCCCCACCTACTGAGGGGGGAGTCCGGATGCAAACCCAGCCTGAGGGGCCCTGAGGAGCTCCAAGACCTACTGGGCCTGGTGCTGTGTGGGAGGCCCGTGGAGTGGGGTGTACAGAGCCAACGGGGACAGGTGCAGGGCAGAAGCTGGGGAAGGCAGCGAGGGCTTCCTGGAAGAGATACCACTGGGGCCTCCGATCCTGAAGGAGTGTACTACAGGGACAGCAGCGGGCAGCGGGCGTGTCCAGCCAGCAGATGACAGAGCACAGGCCTGTCATTCTCCTCCCCATCCCCGACCCCCAACATCCCTGCATCTTTGCCCCCTTTCCACGTCTCGGTTTTCAACTATGGAGAGACGCAGCCTCCGGAACGGGGACTGTCTCCAGTTCGTGTAATGTCTCTTAGTTTTGCTTCGCACAGTACTTGTGAACTGCCGTAAAGTCAGCATGGGACTCTTGTTCTCCTTTTAATTTTTAAGAAAGATTTATTGACGTGAAGCTCACATAACAGGAAATGAACCACTTACAGCGTACGATTCAGTCGTTTTTAGTACTCTCCCAGGGTTGTATTCCCACCACTTCTCCCTAGTTCCAGAAGGCCCTCACCCCTCCAGCAGAAACCCCTTGCCCAATGCTCAGTGTCTCCACACTGCCCCTTCCCAGGGCCCTGCGGCCACCCACCTGCATGTCCATTGCTGTGGATTTACCTGGTCTTGCTATTTCAGCGGAAGGGCATCCTCGTTCACTTATTATAACGTCTGGTTTTTCCAAATAAGGACTTATTTTTGAAAGATGGGTTTTGGGTTCATAGCACACTGGAGAGAAATCCAGAAGTATGTCCCATGCAAACCACACATGCACGGCCTCCTGCACTATCCACGTCCCCCTCTGGGTGGTAACTTTGGTATAGTCGATGAGCCCCAGGAGTGTTGGCCCCCAAAGGCCACTGTCGGCATCGTCTGTCCTGGGGGTGTGGACAGTTGTGTAATGACCCGAATCCATCCGTACACTACCATGTAGGATAGTCTCACTGCCCTAAACATGGTTTTTAACATTTCTCACAACAGCCTGTTAAGAGACGCTTTTGCTAACCCCTAGGGGGTCAGAACGTTGGATCTTGTATATAATAAAACTCTCATGCTTTGGGTTTGTCACCGGCTAGGGGTCATCCTCGGGCTGGAATATATTGACAAGGGGCCCAACTTCATGTCCCTTGCTCCGGCTCTGGGAAACAAGGTCCACGTGTCAGCCAGACACTTTGCCAGGACAGAGGCTGGTACGGGAAGAGAGGGTTCTCTTAACCATGCACATCTGCTTTCTGGTATGTCTGTCGAGCCCCTAGAGAAGGGCCATCCCACACCACAGCTCGGACCACCTTCCGGCTGTGGGTGCAGTCGTGCAGTAAGTGGGCACATCCTGGTCCCTGGGAATGGCCCGGCAGGCCCCTCCAGCGTCAGGATCAGGTGGTAAACAGAGAACCTGTAAAGTGATCATGGTGCATTTCTCCAGTGGCAAACTCCCGAGAAAGTGAATGCATCATTAATTTAGTTGAACTGTCAAAGGACTGCACCAATTCCTGGAAGACATGGCTAGCGCCAGGGCTTCCTGAGACATAGTTTTGGCAGGGACGGGGGATGCTGAGTGGCATCTTGGGCTGTGCTCCCTTTCTGCAGGTGGACGCCTGGACACTGGGCAGCGGTGTCCTCCGCTCCTGGGGGACAGGAAGCAGACTGGCGCTTTGCTGTCGCCTCTGCTTTGACTCTGAACTTGATTCTTCTGCTATTTTCATACTTGCATCTGATTCATCCCAATGTAGGTGTTTGGCGTAGTTGTAGGAGAGGTGGGTGTTGCATTTTCTGGAGGAAATGCCCGAGCGCTGGCAGCGTGACATGCTACATGGTGGTGCCTGGCGCTGTGAAGTGGGGTGCTGTGGGGCGTTTCTGCGCAGACGCAAACCCAGGCCTTCGTGCTCTGGGGAGATAGCGACATGGAACACTGAGTCCCAGCGCAGTCAGGATCAGCCACCTTGTTGTATAAACAAGCAGTTCTTGGGGACACCAATGAGGACACACAGAGCTGCTTCTGGTGCCCTTATGTGTTTGGAGAAGTGATCCCTTCCGAGGCATCGGGAAGAGGGGTTCTCCTAGAAATGCTCCTACACCTCTTCATACATCGGTTTTCAGGGAATAAAACCCATGAGTTTTTTGGAGAGAACACCTGGTACAGGCCCTGTGGGGGGCATTGTTTGGGATATAAGCATGTTCACGGTGCTTCTTGCCCCCACGTTTAATGAGGGAGGGAATCTGGACCCTTTGAGTCTGAGAAGGGCAGCTTTAAAAACAAAACAAAAACAAAAAAACAAGACTTCCCGTCCTGGTACCATACATGTAGCAAAATGGACCATCCCAGCTGTGTTGAAGTGAACAGGTGCCTAGTGTTGTGTGTACTGACGGTGTTGTGTACGTATCTCTAGGACCTGCTCATCATGTAGGTCCTAGAGACTCCCACAGACTCTGTCCGTGACCCAGAAGCTCCCCGTCCTGCCCCAGTCCCTGACAGTGACCATTGTTCTAGCCAGGGGCTTAGCGACCCCATGTGCCTCACAGAGGTGGACTGTCCTAAGATCTGTCCTTCTGTGACTGGCTTCTGTCACCTAGCACCGTGTCCTCGAGGTTCATCCCTGCTGTAACATGTCTGAGTTCCTTCCTTGGGCGGGCGGATTTGTGTCCCCTTGTGTGGATGGACCACGTTTGTGTGTCTGTCCACGCCTCCATGCACACTCGGGTTTGACTGTTGTGACGCGTCCTGCTGGGACCCTGGGATCCAGGTGTCTATTTGAGCCCCTCTTTAGTATTTTGGGGGGCACATCCCCAGATGTGGGATTGTTGGATTGCGTTGGGGACGACAGCAAACCTTTAACGAGCGGGTGTGTCTCTCCTCCCAGACGCCTGCAGGAAGAAGACCAGGAGCTCCGAACCTCGTCTCTGCCGGCCATCCCCAACCCTTTCCCTGAGCTCTGCGGCCCCGGGAGCCCGCCGGTGCTGACGCGGGGCTCCCTACCTCCGAGCCAGGCTGCTGCGAAGCAGGTGAGCGCACGCCCCCCTTCCAGCGCCAGGCTGCCTGGCTGTGGGGTCAGGACGGATGTGCCGGCTCTTCCTTCAGGAAGAAGGGAGGGAACGTGTGGGATCTTTTGCTTCTTTTCCTCTTGCTGCTGTTCCTTTGGCCTTAGGAAACTTTTGATCTGTTGGCCAGAATTCCATTTGTTAAGTCTGGGATGTATCCGTGTGTTTCAGAAAGCATCTCATAAGAAGGATAAAAAGTTACAATTTGTTACCTAGAGATGAATGTTGGTTCTCTGACAAAATATCCCCCCCCCGCCCCGCCACATCGTCTTCATTGGCTGGGATCTCTGGATAAATGAGGGGTTTCTCAGGCACCTGGACTTCCGCAAGTGGAAGAGTTTCCATGTGGTATCCTGGTCTGGAATAGGGTCTGAGCAAGGCAGAAAACCTGACTCAGAGGGCGGCAGCCACCTCCTTACGCTAAAAGTTTCTACCTTACAAGTGGGATTGTGCGCTGCGTGTATCAGAGCCGTTTCCTCCGGGAGGACCGGGACGCAGAGAGTGCAGGGACCCACCCAGGGTCAAAGCGTCAGTAGCCGGCTTGCCAGAGAAATCGGCTGCCATGGCCTGGGCCTTGGTGTGTTGCAGGCTGGGGAGGGAAACCCAGTCTTGCCACGGTGTGGGTGGTGGTGGCATAAATATGATAATGACGACGGGAACGTCTGACATTCACAGAGTGACCCCTAGAGGCCAGGCACTGTTCAGTGAAGTTTCCATATTTTATTTACTTATTTGTTCATTTATTATCCAAAACACTCCTAAGAGTTAGGTACAAGTGTTATCTATACTTCCCAGTTGGGATACAGAAGCCCATCTGTGAGTGATGGGTGCGGGCGGGACCCCAGAGCGAGCGGGGGATGGGCAGGACCCCAGAGTGAGTGGTGGGGCTAGGAGGGACTCCAGAGGGAGCAGTGGGACCCCAGAGGGAGCAGGAGGTAGGCGGGACCCCAGAGAGAGCGGGGCGGGTGGGCAGGACCCCAGTGTGAGTGGGAGGGCTGGTGGGATTCCAGAGTGAGCAGTGATGCTAGGAGGGATCCGAGAGCGAGCGGCAGGGCTGTCAGGACCCCAGAACTAGCAGTGGGATTCCCGAGTGAGCGGCAGAGTGGGCGGGACCCCAGAACTAGCAGCAGGACCCCAGAGTGAGCGACAGGCCTGTCGTACCTGACAGTAGGATCCAGAGCCTCTGATTTTAGCCATTAAACTAGTATTTCCTGGGATCCTGATGGTCTTTATTTTTAGTAAGTGTATTTCAGAACTCTCTTTGGCTTTTCTACTGGAACCCCTCTTAATTTCCTCTGCACTTTGCCATCTCCAAGCCTGATGCACCAGCGTTCCCTGCCCTCTGCAGATCCCCCCGACCCGTGCCGTGCCTGGCTATGCTTGTGGAGGGAGGCATGTCCTCTCTCCCTCTGGGCTCCTGAGCAGCACGGCTCCCTTTCTGACCTCGTGCCTCCCCAGGCGGGCTGCATGGTTCCGCGCCATTGACACTGGGAAGGTGAGGTAACTGTCCCTGTCCAGAAGCCAGTGCTGGCCGGGCTACAGCTCTTTGTCACATGCCTTCAGGACATCTGGGATGTCTGCCTCCCTGGTGACCTTCTGCTTCAAGGAAGGGTCTAGACAGGCTGTCTGTGGACTGCTCACCGAGCTTGTTTACGGCCTTACCCATCCTAAAATAAGACTAGGAAAATTTTATCTGGCTCTCGCCACGGTTGGCAGGAAAGCGGGCCTCCACCCCCACGGACTGTCCAAGTCTGTAAGCAGAATCCGGAAACTCAGGAATTCTGCCTGCTGTTTTTCTTGGGATCAGAGTGTCTGCCCTGGTGTCTGTCTTCCCAGTGCCCGTTTCCCCCCGCCCGCTGGACCCGGCGGGCGCAGGACGGGTGGCCGAGCTGGTGGAGAGTCCATGGTCCTCGTCGGGTCTCACTCAGCTCTGACGGATGCCAGTCATCCACGCCGGGCTCTGACCTTTGATCTTAGGAGCCGTGTGTCACGGGCGCAGCGGCCGGTGGCTGCCCCCCAGCCTGTGATGGCGTGGCTGCTGATGGTCGCAGGAGTTAGGGCCCCTTCTCCACACTTGCATGCTGTTCTCTCTCCCTTTGCACCAAGTCCAAGGGAGCAGCTGGACCTGCCTCAGGCAGGTTCCCTGGAGGGAGTAAACCATGCTCGTGGAGGCCCCTCATGCTTCCTCGTTCACTGGGCAGCGTGTGGCCAGCATGGGTGGAGAAGAAAGCCTCTTGCCTCTTTGGTAGGAAACTGCCTCAGGACCGCGAGGCCATCAGAAGCAGCCTCTTTCTGTCCTCCAGTCCGAAGGGGAGGCAAGAACGAGGGAGGCTGTACCGGCGATGTGCACGGACCCGTTCCTGCCTGGGACACTGCCTGCCCTACCGCATTCTTCCCAGACCCTCTTGCAAACGGGCCAGCAGCCTTCCTTCCCCTCCCTGGGTGTCTTCTGCAGGGAAGCTTGCTGGCTGCCCACCATGCTGTCCATGCACCCCAGCTCCAGGGAGCCGCTGCCGTGTCGTGGGCATCTGCTCTGCATGGGGCACCGCCCGCCTCCCACACAGAGGACGCCCACCTGGCGGGACAGCCAGCCGAGGGTGGTAGGAGCGCTGATGAGGTTTCAGGCTCCTAGGTGTGTTGTTCTGTTGTCCGTCCGGCACAGCTCCTCTGTGGACGTGTGAGCTGCAGGCTAGCTGCTGGGAAGGATCAGAAACCCTCAGTGGCCGCCCCACAACCTCCCCTGGGGCATCCATGGGGTAGATGCCCCGGTCAGGCTGTGGAAGTGCTCCCATGCCGACCCCACTGTGGTTGTCCTTGCCTGAGCCAACTGGGGTCCACATAGTGGGAGCAGTGTTGTGGACTGTGTGTGTGCCCCCCACCACGAGAGGACATGTGGCAGCCCCACCCCCACAGGGATGGTGTGGGAGGTGGAGCGCCCATGTGGGATCACTGCCCTGGTGGGAAGGAGCAGGGCTGTGGTCTGCAGCAGGCCGGAGGTGGCCGCCCAGGAGCCAGGAAGGGGCTCTTGGCAGAGCCTGACCCGTCCGCACCCTGATCGTGGGCTCTCAGCCTCTGGAGCTAGAGGTGCCACTTGCTCTTTGAGCCCCCCACCTTGGTGATGTGTTATGGTGGCCTGAGCTTGTGGAGAATGGACACTAGCGCTTGGCTTCCCACACTGGAAGCCCTAACCGGACGAAAGTGCCCGGCCGTGCCTGGGTTTGAAATCACTGCGAGGACAAGGGCTGCTGACAGTCCAGCTGTCCTTTCTGCCCAGCTCCGCGTCCCCGCCCCCAGACCTGGGTTCCTGGCTCTGCTGTCCCCACGTCGGTCCCCTGGCTCTGCCCGTAAAGGGGTGGATCTTTGGCGCTCCCCACACCACCGACCCCACCCCCACGCTGCTCCCACAGACCCCGGTCCCACCCTGGTTCCATACCAGCGTGGTCGGGTAGCACCTGCCTTGCAGCTGCTCCCAGACCCGAGCAGCATGAACCAGGGTCAGGATATGGGGGAACTGCTGAGTCCGCAGCCCGGCAGCTGGACTCTGATCGGGAGTCGCCTGCGGCCTGTGAACCCAGTGCCCGTCGGAAGCCCAGCCACGGCGGCCTCTGTGCCTCCCACGGGGTCCTCCCGGGCCTGCGGGGTTTCAGTCTCCTGAGCAGTTCCCGGGGTCACCTTGGACTCAAGTTTCTCAGGCGTTCTGCCTCTTCTGTTGTGTTATGCAGATTTGAAGCAGCCGCCTTTGGTGTGTTAATATTTTTTTAGGTTTTATTTATTTGAGATGGAAGAGGGAGAGAGAGAGAAAGCAGGAGAGCACAGAGAGAGAGAGGGAGCAGCAGGACCCTGGGGCATGACTTGAGCCGAAGGCAGTCGCTCACCTGCCTGAGCCCCCCAGGCGCCCCTGCTTATTAATATTTTAAACCAGAGTCTACTGATGGGCACGTAGCGTTATGGCTTCGCCTGTAACGAGAGCACGTGTGGGCCTCTTCATGTTCACGGAAGACAGTCACGAAGCGTCGTTCGTGTTGGGAGAAGCACCCGCTTTGCCCCGTGAGAGTCTCGAACCCGTGGCTGCCCTCGTGCGTGGAGTCTTCCCGGCAGATCACACACCGAGTGATTCGTGTCTGAACTCACAGCCCCGGTGAAGGATGTTGTTCCCTCTTGGCCAAACGACGCAAAATGTACCCGGACGACTTGATGAAGTCGTGTAATGACGAGTCATCTCGCAGTCACAGAAACACAGATGCCCGAGAACTGCTCTGAGCGATAACATTCTGTCCCCTGGAGGGTCATGAAATTCAATTAATATCAGAAAGTGAATTTTTGTGGTGAAAATCAACAAGGCATGTTTAACTGCTTTGTGACTCATTTGGAAAAGACAGGCTATCACATGGTTGGAGTGATTGTTAAGCCCGAATCGTGAGTCGTGACCCCGCATCAGGCCGCCGCCCCATCCTGTGGCCTAGACCGAGTCTTCGCGTGTTTCCGGCGATGTTCCCTTTGCCCTCGGTGCCGCGTGGACCCAAAGGGCCACAAGCCACAAGCCTCCGGCTCTCAGGAAAGCCTGTGTGCCCGGGGACAGCTGATCACGCAGGTTCCTCCCAGAGGCACCCAGGCCCCGTGCGCTAAGCCTCGCCCTCCCATTTTAGCCATGACCCCTCTCAGAGGCCTCAGAAGTCAGACAGGAGACGTCACTGAAGGGGAGGCCTGGTGTCTGCCCCGCCCTAGCCACGCTGCCGGCCCGTCTGGGAGGGATGACGTTAAACAGGTGCTACCAGTGTACCCATGGGACAGGGACCAGAATGACAGGTGCGGCTGTCCCTGCTGAGAGAGAGAAGGTCCACGTAGATAAAGATCCTGCTGGAGTCCCGAGGTCCATGTGGCCTTCCCGGAAAAGCGGGCTGGACCTCACCACCTTTCCTGTTCCGGCCGTGCTGGTGGGCGGCTGTGGCGTCTCCCGAGCCATC